GCCCCTTCGGGCGGGGAGTCTTCGCAGGGAAGCTGGCACTGACTGGCATGACCGGACCCGCGCACGCTCTCCCTGGCTGACCACGGGCAGCGTCCCCACAGCCCTGTGCCCACATCAGCTTTAGGGGACACTGCGGGGTCAGACTCTAGCTCTGGGCCTATGGAAGGGGAGCCGGGGGCCGAGAGGAGACCTAGGGACGGGTCACCGAGTGTGGCTGTGACGGTACAGCTGCGAGCCTGGCTCCCCAAGGCCGCCTCGGTCTGAGAACTCTCCGGGAGGACGCTCAGAACTCACTGAGTGCAGCCACACACTTCGTCACCGGGAAGGACCCAGACTAACGTCCTGGGGTGGGGGAGGCTGGGGGCACCCAGGAGGGCCGTGCGAGGGCCTCCAGGCTTCCTCTCCCTGGGGTTACGATATGTGACAGTCCCCACCAAGTGTGGCCAACCACATGTCCGGGGTCTTCACTGGGACTTCACAGCTCACCGCCCCTCAGAAGGTCAAGCTGATCTGAGGCCCCACCCTAAGTCTCATTGAGAAAACAGGCCCCCAGACAAGGACCCTCTTACCAGGCAGGACATTCCAGGGGCGTAGAGATCACCTCTCAGGAGCTGAGGGCCCCATGGGACCCTTAAGTACATGCCTGTGGAGCAAAGGGAGGCCGGTCTGTGCAGCTGGGGGCGGGGCCCTTGCGCTGACCGGGAGGCCGGAGGCGCCGGAGTGCAGGGTCTCAGATGCACTCAAGCCCGCCTCACACTCCCATCCGCTCTTCCCAGCGATGATGACGTTCCCGTGAGCTGCCTGCTGAGGCTCTAAATGCAACCACCCTGGTACTTCTGCACCTGCGAGGTCAGGTTTGGGTCTGACTTTCAACCACATATGTGCTGAGGCTCCAAGAGACGTTTCTAAGGCCCTTGTAGAAGCTGACATTGTAAGAGAAAAAATAAAGCCCCAGGCTCTCGTTGATCTTCACTAAACCCCCTGCCAGGGCGCACGCAGCCAGCCAGTCCTGGGTCCCTATAGTCTCTGCTCCCACCTGCACTAAAGCCATCGCAGGAACAGCTGCCAGCCTTCAGCCCTCCCCACGCCCACGCCCCTGACAGTGCAGTGTGCGAGTCCTCCCTGGCACAGGGCCGCCTATCCCCCACTCCCTGAATCCTGGGGTGGGCCTCAGGGCTCCCTGTGTCCACAAAATGGGCTGGAAAGGTCCATGTACCAATTCCAGACCTGGGCCTCAAGACACCTTGGGAAAGATGCAAAGCCTGTACGCTGAAACTGAAGAGAGACTCTGAAGATCTAAATGCAGGGAGAGTGTCTTCTGGGTTGGACGACTCAGTACTGTTAAGATGGCAATGCTCCTCGTCCTCATCTATAGACCACTGCGATCCCATCAAAATCCCAGCTGGCTTTTTATTTTTTGCAGAAATTGGTAAGCTGATCTGAAAATTCACATGGAAATGCAAAGTCCCCAGAGGAGCCAAAATAATCTCAAAAGAGAACAAAGCGGGAGGATTCGCCCTTCCTGATTTCGGAACTTCCTACGAAGCTCCTGTAATGAAGATAATGCGGTACTAGCCGAAGGACAGGCATCCAGATCAACGACTAGGACCGAGAGTCCAGAAATGTTCCTGACATTTAAATTCAGTTGACTTGCAACAAGCGTGCCAACCCCCAGAACGGGAAGAGATATTCAAGACACGTATTTGACCGAGGACTTGTATCCAGAACGTGTGTGTCTTACAACTCAATAGGAAGAAGACAAATAATCCAACTTAAAAAAAAATGGCCAGAAGTTTAGATATTTCACCAAAGGACACATACAGATGGCCAATAAGCACTTGAAATGGAGCTCAGCAACGACAGCTAAGTAGAGAAACGCAAAATAAAACCTCAGAGAGGCGAAGCGCACACACCAGGACGGCTGTCACAAAGCAAGGCAGCTACCAGCCAGGAAGGGGGGTTTGGAGAAACTGGAGCCTCGTACGTTGCCAGTCAGAATGTGAAATGGTGCCATAGTTCAGAAGACAGTCCAGCTGTTTCTTAAAATGGTAAACAAAAAGGTACCATATTGTCCAGCAGTTTCACTCCTAGGTATCCACCCAAGAGAAATGAAAACATACGCCCACCCAAAAACCTGTGGCTGGAAACAACCCAAATGTCTATCAGCTGGTGAGTGGACACGCAAGGTGGGATATATCCCCACAATGGGATCTGACTTGGCAACAAAAAAGAACAAAGTTCTGATTCATGGTATAAGATGACATTATGCTAAGCGAAAGAGATGAGACCAAAAAAAAAAAATCACAGATGGTATGATTCTATTAATATGAAATGTCCAGAAAAGGCAAATCTATAGACACAGATCAGTGGTTTCCAGGAGTGGGATGGGGACAAGGAGTGGGCTCAAGGCCTCTTTCTAGGGTAATGGAGATGTTCTAAAATGAGCTTGTGGTGATCACTGCATAATTTAAAACTTATACAAAATAACTGAATTGTACACATAAAACAAGTGAACTTTAGAGTTTATAAAATATACCTCAATAAAGCTGTTAAAAAAGAAAGAACCAAAAAAAAACCTTGAGTACTTTCTCTTGTCCTGCTCAGCTGCCAAGAGAACAGGCCCAGGTGGTCAGCTGGTGCCAAGATGCATGGCTCAGACCCGCCACTGCCCCAGCCAGCAGGCAGCAGCTCCCAGGTATATGACGAGACCATCCTAACTAGTCAACCTCAGGGGACCTGCCAGGTGACTACAGGCCGTGGTGAGCTCAGCCTAGATCAGCAGAACCCCCCACTGAGTCATAACCTCATGACCAAGAACACTTCATGTTTTACACTGAGCTGGGGAAGTTTGTTACACAGCACCAGCTGACTGTAGCACTTTATTCCAGATGACCATGGGGGATCACTAGTCACTGCAAATATGGGCTCTCACATCCCACTTTCCACTGCAGTGGGATCATTACCACATCCTATCCCAGTCAGGTGGGAGAACCAACCCCAGATTATGATAAGGAGTCTGACCGGGACTGTGGCTGCTGCAGAGAGAAATGGGGGACAGAGGAAAATGGGATGGACCCAATCAGATAGGATCCTTTAAGGACGTGAGCTTTTTCCTCTGGCTAGGACTGACAACCATTGGAAACTGCACATTTTTATCCACCAACGCACAGATATTCTGCTCCTTAGGAGAACTCATGGTTCTTACAGCGGAAATGTGCAGGCAGAAAGCACTGAGGGCACTCTGCCTGAAACCTAGGGCTACCACCTTCCAGTTTACAACACAGCTGTGCTCTGTTCACATCCTCATGTGGGGAGCCTGGGAAGAAAGCAGAATTTTCTGCATCCAGCAAGATCTGGTGAGCACTAGGCATCATCCTATGTTCTGCAGAGACGCGGGGCTAAGGGGGACGTCCGGCCTCGCCCATGGCTCAGAGCCCACAGACCCAGCTGGACACACCCAGGTTCCATGCAGCGCCCCACTCCCCAGGCCTCACAGCTGCTCCCGGCCACTTCGCCACCACACGGGGGCCTGGTCTAGCAATGAACACACTTGTTTACCTTTTCCCAAAAGTTCACACAAAAGATAGATCAAAAAGGACCTACTGTATAAAACAGAGAACTATATTCAGTTTCTTATAATAACCCACAATGGAAAAGAATCTGAAAAGGAAAAAATATATATCTGTATATGTATGTATGTATATATATATAACTGAATCACTTTGCTGTAACCTGAAACTAACATTGTAAATCAACTACACTTCAACAAAAAAATTTTTTTTAATCAATAAAAGAAAAAAACCTGAAAGACTATGTTTCAATGCCTTTTGGGGGGGGCTAGATTAGTTAAGGTCTTACACAAGTTTATAACCAGAAACTGAAAGAGCAAACGCATTGGGAATTTGAGGAAGGAAGCTAATGAGAATGTGGATGTCTGTGTTTCAGCTTCATCTTTGTATAAAACTTGCAGAGGTCAACTCACCATCTAACCTCAGAAGGGAAGCTATTCTGTGAGTGTTCAGTTGTAATGTACAGTTCACGCATTTGAAAGGTACACTTGGTTGGATTTCAGGATAGCCAGAGTAACTCCGTGTTTACCTGTTTAAGAAACAGCCAGACTGGTTTTCAAAGCGGTCGCGCTGCATTACATTCCTACCAACCATGTATGCGGGTCCAATTTCTTCACTTCGTCACTGACATTTACTATTACCTGTCTTTTGAATTGTAGCCACCCTGGTGAGTGTGAAGTCCTGTCTCCTGGTGGTTTTGATTTGAGATGCCCTGGAGGGTCGCGACGTTGAGCGTCTTTCCCAGCGTGCGTCTCCTGTGGGGACATGTCTGTTCAGGTCCTTTGCCCGTTTTCCTGTTGCACTGTTTACCTTTTTATTACTGAATTGTGGGTGTTCTTTATTCATTCTAGTTCAAGTCCCTTATCAAACACATGATTTGCAAACATTTTCTCACATTCTGTGGTTTGTCTTCTTGCTTCCTTGGTGGTGTTCTTTGCAACACAAACGTTTTTAATATTGGTGAAGTCCCATTTACCTCTCCTTTTCTTCTGTTGTTTGTGCTTGTGATGTCATATTTATGAAACTGTTGTCTAATCCAAGAGCACAAAGATTTACTCCAGTGTTTTCTTCCAATGGTCTATAGTTTCTGCTCTTGTATGTGTGTCTATGATCCATTTTGAGTTAATTTTTGTACATGGTGTGAGGTAAGGATCCACCTTCATTCTTTTGCAGTATGGACGTCCATTGCCCCAGCACTGTGTGTTGAAAAGACTATTTCCCACTCCCCGCCCAACAGCTAAGTTGACCTGGCAACTATCTAGCAAATCAAGTGACTATAAGTGTACAAGTTAATTTTGGATTCTTGGTTCTATTCCATTGATCTATATGTCTATCCTTGCACCATTACCACGTTGTCTTGATTACTGTTGCTCTGTAGTAAGTTTTTTTTGTTTTGTTTTGTTTTTTGCTTGGGGGGTTAATTAGGTATTTATTTATTTTGATGGAGGTGCTGGGGATTGAACCCAGGACCTTGCGCATGCTGAGCATGCACTCTACCACTCAGCTATACCCTCCCCTGTAGTAAGTTTTGAAATGGGGAAGTGTAAGTCTTCCTATTTTATTCTTCTTCTTCAGGAGTGTTTTGACTAGCCAGGGTCCCAGGTAATTCCACATAAATTTTAGACTCAGCTTGTCAATTTCTGAGGGAAGGAAAAAAGCC